CAGTATTGGAATCCACCAAGCATGGGAGAGGGTGGGCTGCTGCTAAATCTTATTTTGTTTTTACACTCATGTTTTTGTGTATGAATGCTGGGTCCTGCTCCTCCTTTTCTGCTAGGTGTGCTCATCAAGGGTATCGCCCTAGGGCCATGTTCACTCTAGCCCCTCCCAATTTCCATGTCCCCTTTATAGCCTAAGTAACTGTTTTCTCCGTCTGGCTTTATAGCCTGTGAGCTGATGAGGTGGCCCTCCTGCTCCATTGTGTGTGCATCCCAGGCTGGGAATCATCCAAGCTGAGGCCTATCCCTGATTGCACTGGCATAGCAAACAGACCCCTGAGATCTGTGCTGCTTGTAGTCAGTGGGGTGGGGGAGAGGGGATCAAGCAGTCAGCTGGATTTGAATGCCAGCACTTCCAGGCCCAGGCCCCTCCAAAGACCACATGCTACTGGCCTGGTTTCACACCAGAGAGCAGGACCCCCGTGTCCTTCCCAGCAGGGAGTTTAACCTTCTCAGGGGGACTATGTCTAGCCCACACCTTCTCTTCAACTGTCTCTTGTGTCTGTCTCCACCCAGCCACTATGGTAGCATAACCCTAGAACCCCTGACGTGCAGTTGTTCTGTGGCTTCTGATTCCTAGAGCAGCTCAGTCTTTCACAATTAACCACTTTCCAAACTGGCTCCTGATTAAACTCTCAAACATAGCCACCACCGCACTGGGTTTCCAACTCTAGTCTGCCATACGGAAGGAGATGCTTAGAGAGTAAAGCCTCATGCTTTTTTTTTGGCAGTTTATAATAAGTAGGCTTTTCTTGGGACTAACATTGCCAACATAATCTGTTTCTTCTCCCTGGGGCAGCTGACCCTTCTCCTTGTGTTAGTGGAGACAGGTCCGCTTACCAAAGAACCAAGATTAGCATTCCAGGCTACTTCGTTATTTTCTGTGTTATTTTCAGCTTCTCTCTAGTTTTTAGTTTTTCTGGCAGCTCTTTTGTTCTGGTTTGTGTGTGGATGTCCCCCGAAAGCCTTATGGGGTCATAAGGGCTTTTTCAGAGGTGGCTGAATCTAGAGTGTGTGATGCTGGGATTAAGAGTGAGTGCTTACCGTATCAGTCCATTGAATGGTTTGGCACTGCCCTAATCCCAGTGGGCGGTTAAGGTCTCGTGTTGCTTTTGCTGTTTTCTGCCACCATGAACTGTTGCCCCGCTGCCGTGCGCCACTCTTCCTTGGAGCCAACTGATTATGAACTGAAACCTCCACAAACTGTGAGCCAAATAAACCCTTTCCCCTTTAACTTTGGGTGCTGTGTCTCAGCAAAGAGAAAAGTACCTAAGACAGAGTTCGGTACCAGGAGTAAGGTCACTGCTGTGACTATACCCGACCATATGGTTCAGAAGCCTTGGGAACTGGCTTGTGGTAAGAGTTCTGAAAGGTTCAGAGATGCCGGCTGAAAAAGTACAGCTGGAACCCCTGAGGCTCTATTGTATGAGAGATTCTGATTAGTCTTCAGAAGACCAGAAGGCTGACAGAAATTCTGTTGGTAAATACCAGCTCAGGAGGTTTCTGCTGGGAAGGACTACTTTGGCTGTTGGACTCCAGATGATACATGTTATGCCTTGGCAGAAAGTTTGTCTGCATTTTGCTTGCATCCAAGACTTTGCATGAGACTAAGGTAAAGGGAGGCAGACTAATTAATTTTGTAGAAGAAAATTAGGCAGTCTAATGTTGAGGCAGTAGCATGGCTACTGTTAGGAGCTTTTAGCTAGATTTATGGTGAGAATAAAGAGCAAAGAGCCCAGCAGGATGATTTAAAATGTTGTAAGCTTGGTGGGAAAGGAAGCTCCAGTGAAGTTCCTCTGCAAAGATAGAGCAGAGGGGATCTTGATTGCTGAGAAAGAACAGAATAGAAAAAATGGCCTTGAGAGTATCACAAGAAGTAGCAAGACTCTACCCTTTGCAACACAAAATTGCAAAAGTGAAAGACATTGCTTTGAGCAGAAAGCCCAAGAGCATCATGTTCCAAAATGGTGGTGGCCTAGAGAATTTTTTCCTAAGAACTGGATTCAGCGTGCTCAGTGATCCAGGCACTTGACACCAACAAGCAAGAACGAAGGAAGCCTGACTGATGCTCCAGCTGGCAGCAGACCTTGGCATCACCCATGTGGTGCTGATTTTATTTGCATGCAGAGTTTTGGGGTCAGGAAGGCTCCCACCCAGATTTCAGAAAAAGGCCTGGGAGGCCAGGCAGTGCGCCCCTGAGAGGACAGTGTGTGAAGCTGCAAATGTGAAGCAGAAGATGCAGTAGAGACCCCAGAAGGTTGGAGAAGCCAGGAACATGTATTGTCCAAGGAGAGCTGCAAGGAGTGAGCAAAGCCAGCCAAAGAAAGAAGCGATGGGAGCTACAACCAACAGAAGTGCTATAGGGGTGGACCACCTAAGCCCTTTGGAGTTCACAACTTGCCACAGATTGCCAGGGATGCTGGATGTGGAACTGTGGGATTTATTGTTTGCCCTACTGAATTTTGGACTTGCTTTGTTCCCGTTTCTTGTTATCCCCCTGTTTATAACTTTTGGAATGGAAATGTCCATCTTTTGCCATTAAATACTGGAAGTGTTTAACTTTCTTTTAATTTGTACAGGGATTTGCAGCTAAGAGTCTGTCTTAAATCTCAGAGCAGACTTTGGACTTGGACTTTTCAGCAATGCTGAACCTGCTAGGACATTGCCAACTCTTAGAGATGGACTAAATGCCTTTGTCATTAAGAGATGTGCATGAGTCTTTAGAGGACCATGGGCAGAATGTTACAGTTTATGTGTAGATGTCCCCCTAGAGCCTCATGCAGTCATAGGGCTTTTTCAGAGGTGACTGAATCTAGAGTGTGTAGTGCTGGGATTAAGGGTGGGTGATTACTAAGTCGTGGTTACTAAATCAGTCCATTGATTGGTTTGACACTTCCCTAATCCTGGTAGGCTGTTAAGGTCTCTTGTTGCTTTTGCTGTTTTCCACCACCATGAACGGTTGCCCCTCTGCCATGTGCCGCTGTTCCTTGGAGCCAGCTGATTATGGACTGAAACCTCTACAAACTGTGAACCAAATAAACCATTCCCCCTTAACTTGGGGTGTTGGGTATTTTTTTTCTCAGCAACAAGTAAAGTAACTAAGATGTCTTTCTTAATTTATTTTTTCTTCCCTAAGTTGTTGTTTTCCCAGGCATCTTGATGCTAGATTCCAGAGAGGCTGTATTTTACTGTAGGCCTTTAGTTCACCATTTTTAATCCTCCACAAGAGTTTTTAAAGTAATTAATTCTGTCACATCTTAGATTAGAAAGAAGAGAAATGCAGAAATAGAGCTATAGAAAGACACCACTGTATGAACACTCACATGCACGTCTTCATCTTATCTCTGCATCTTCCAAAGGCTTCAGTTCCACCATGCCCACTTTCGCTGTTAGGTTTTAGAAAGGTGAACCAGATGAGCTAACAACCTATATCCCTAGCCAGGCAGTGACATCAACTAGCTGAGCATGGGTCTGATTATATTCTGGAGCAGAAAGAAACCTGGGAACCAGGGAAAGTCACTGTGATCAGAACATGCTACCTGTCCTCCAGTGTTGAGGAGGCTTTGAGCCACAGCTTTGCAGATTCACCATCACCCAACTCTTCATAATCATATGACTCAAAGTGAGCACCCAGATACCTACTTGTATTTTAATCAAGCCAAAGAAATGTCATGAGTTGTCCTGAAATCATGGGTTAGTATGGTCTTCGTTCACATCTTGATCAAGGGCAAGCTACAGGGGTAGCATGGGGGTGCCTCATGAATAGACAGTAGAGAATGCATATTTCACTTAGATGCTGAAATTATGTCAATAATCATTATGAAGAAAAAGTTCCGTTACAGGGACTAACTATCCCAGAGTCACAAGGTCAGGCTAGGTGGCTTTTTCAGTTTGTAGAACTCTTTTACTGTTATGTCATCTTTGTTGTCTGGTTTCTGACTATGTGTAGCAAACTTATCTTTGTGATCAATAGATATGATTATTGGAGTTCTTAAATTCAAAATCATCATTGCTGTGGTAAAAAAACAATGACTTTCACTTTTTCCCACTAGATAACTTATGTACGGCAAGAATATGAAACAAAATTCAAGGGGTTGATGCCAGCATCTCTAAGACAAGAACTTGAAGACACAATTTCCTCCCTGAAATCACAGGTAATTACTAGAACTGAAGCATTTTCCAAGAATTTCAGTCACGTACACACCCTGGAGAGAAACTTACATGTAAATTTGACTCTACATTGTTGCCGGGAGTCAGTGTGATATCGTAGCATAACCCACCACACAAGATGAGCTGTTTTTGTTTTTGTTTTCTAATTATTTTTCTTACTAGTTTAGAACTCATTGTCTCCATAGGGTTTTCTTAAAAGCCCCCTGAAATTAAAAAGTTCAGTCGTGGCAACCTCTACTCATTTACAGTCTGAGTTCCAGTATCCCACTCATTTTGATGCCAAGTCCAAAACGCCATTACTCTGTGCTAAAGTGCAGAAAAACAAAAATGCCATTAAGTTCAGAATATTTTATTCCGGTGTATTTTATATGGTTCTTAGAGATAGAATGTGTTTTAGGTTCAAAGTAAAATAATGATAAGGCATTCAAACCAGTGGGTTAAATATTTATAAAATTGATAATGAGAGATGAGATTGATTTATCTTCAGATGCTTAGGGGAAAGGTTTCTATGTACCTCTGTATGTTTGAATGTTTTATGTGTTGCTGGTCTAATGAATTTTTTAACTCTAACTTGAGAAAGACTTCACATAGTTCCATTTCCAATACACCTAAAAATTTTAGGCTTTTTCCTGGAAAAGTTCCATAAAGGAAAGGATCTCTGTACTTCATGTGCCAAGAACTGTGCCTGGCATATAGAATGTACTCAATAAATTTGTTTACAATATAAGTGATACAAGTTGATAATATTCACCTTAGCAATTTTTAAGATGTAAGATGAAATGGCTATTTCTTTTAAACGCTCCTCAATAAAAGTCTCTTATCTGAACAGGAATCTTCATGACAGGGTACCTCAGTTCATGAACTTAATACTTTACGTGATTCTGGCCACAAATCAAATTGGACGAGAACTGAATCAAATTCAGTGTTTAGGTTCAACGTTGACCTTGTGGGGAAATCTGATTTGGTTTGGGGCCAGAATCGTGGAAATAATTAATTTTGTGAACTAAAGTCGGTATCACTGTGTTTCTGTCTTTCTGCTACTGTTTACTGTTCCTTCTGTAGGCTAATAACAAGTTTTGCTGTGCTTGTCCCTGCATAAAAATAAGCGCTGGAGGAGCGCACTGACACAAATGGTTAAGCAACCTTTATTTCCATAAACGCACTCCTCAAGGTGTGTTTTACCCTTTCACTTTGTAGCAGACCTTCCACAGGATCGGCTGGAAAGGACTCGACACCTTCACGGGAGGGGTTTTTTGTTTTGTTTTTTGGGAGGTGGGGAGGGGATCCGATACCCACCTGCAGGACTTCTGTTATCATCCAGATCATGTGACTGTAATAAAAGCCACTTCAGCCTCCTAAAACTGGATGTTGACCTGGAGAGCAAGTGCTGCCAGCTGTATTAGGGCCTCAGAATCGGCAGCTGCGTGGAGGAGTCACAAGCCATAGAGTGAGCGCATTTAGTTTGAAAGCACAGGTGCCTGTGTTTTTCAGAAATGGTTGAAATTCCAATTGCAGTATCATGTGGGGGAGGGAACTTGAATCAGTGTAATCCTTGCATCTGTCACAATTATCAGTTGTCCTATGGGTCATTTGAGCAATTGGGTAAAATGAAGAACGGGGTGATATTACAAATAAGCAAACCCAAGGGGGCCGCTTTGATAGGCACCCATTTGGGAAGACGGTGCTTTCTTCTCTTTCAAACATGTTTTTTAGTTCTGCCAGCTGTACGCTTTTATAACAGGGCTTCAGAATCAGCCGTTGCCATGGTTGCAGTCCAGCCCAACGAGGCAAGAGTAAACAATTCCGAACGATCAAATACCACCGGCTCTTGATTATATTAAGCTATAGTAAGCTATTCCCAAACTGGTTTTATTTGGTTGTCTAAGGTGCTTTTGAATCTTTGCGTTACGAGTGTCTTTAATCATATAGAAATTTATGCTTCAAAATAATCAGTGTATCATAAAGACCTGGCTTAGGAGCATATGCTAGGCTATCCAGTTTCCGCCATCTTTGGGGGCCCCAAGAGTGGGGGTGTGGGGGTGTTACCTGCTGTGAGGGCTCTACCACACGCTTTCCTCATTTCACACCATCCTCCTTACCTTGGGAAGCACTGCCGCTGTCCTTAACCCCATTTCACAGATAGGGCACTGAGAGCTGAAGTAATTTCTTAGAGTCTTAGAAGCCAAGCCAGGAAGTGAACCCAAGTTGGTCTAACTCCAGGCAAAGCTTAGGCTCTCTCCCCTACAGAATACTGTCTCTCAACCTCAGGGAATCCCCAGGATGCATTGAGGTTTCCAGAAAGCAGTAATTTTCTTTTCACTCACTCATTCATTCATTAAACAGCTAGTGAATGCCAGCTACATGCCCAGCACTGTAAAAGAAACCAGGATACAAAGATTTAAAAAAAAATGCTCCCTGCCCCAGAAGTTTCCAGGTTTGGAGCAGAGATAAAAACAAATCACAGCACAGCGATGTCAGAAGTGGCACCAAAAGAGAAGAGGGAGCCAGTGGGACTGAGAAGACATGAGCACTTGGGAAAGCTGGAAAGATTCCATAGGCGTATATTTGAATAGGAGACAAAGAGAGAATGAAAAACGATCCCATTCAAGCATTTAGGAGGCTGAGGCAGGAGGAGGCTGAGGCCAGCCTGAACTACATAGCAAGACCCTGTTTCAGAAAAACAAAGGAAAAAAAAAATCACTCATTTTTCCCAAAGGTTCTGTTTGTTTGGTATAGATAAGATTTAATCTCTTGTAGTCATACATGATCAAATTTTGATATGACATCTATTTCAGCCCCTAACTTCTATAATATTTGAAAGAGAGAAAAGGGCAACAGTGTGTGGAAGATGGGGTGTGTGAAGTGGTCCTATCAGGGAGGGCGCAAAGAGCAAGGAAGCCACAGAGGTAGGAAGGAGCCAAATTAAAGCAGCTCTTGTGGTAAGGAGTTTGAAGTTATTCTGTAGCCTCCGGTGGATTTTCAGTTGGAATAGCGTGTGACCAAATTAACACACACACACACATACACACACATACGCACCATTGACGTTCAGCAAATCTTGTGAGCTTTATCTCAGGAAAGAACTGTCTGAATCAAAATAAAATTCTATTGTACCATACAGGCAGTATTGACATTCGAGCCACGTTCACCTTTTCTCATACAAGGTCTCTTTCCTAGGTTAACTTTCTGCAAAAGAGAGCGTCTATCCTCCAAGAAGAGCTGATGACCTACCAAGGCAGAAGGTACAGCACATGAGCAGAGGCCTTCTGATGACTTCTCTTGTTTGCACCTGCGAGTCTCCTGGCTTGCTATTTCTCTTTATCATACGCACACTTAATAGCAGTTCTGAAAAAAGAGGTAGTTTTAGTTGTCAGCCCTTCTTTGAGAAGTCATTTATCTCTGTTAATCAAGGGCTTAATCAGTCCCATCAGAAGAAGACGCAAGGGTCTGCAGGGCACAGCAAGTACAGGCCTCCCCTGGGCAATTGCCAAGACATCCCTTGAAAGCCAGTTGCAGGGCAGAGGACACACCGTGTTCCTTTAAGAGCTGGAGGTGATAAACCAGGCGTGGTGGCCCACCGCGTGTAATCCCAGCACTTGGGAGGCTGAAGGAGAGGTGCTGTGAGTTCAAGACCAGCTGAACTATATAGGCAGACCTTGTCTCAAGAAAGAAAAAGAGCATGAGATGATGCAGTTCCTGCCGTGTGGGTTACGTCTTCACAGACCCCTGACCCTGGGGGGGCTTGGTGCTGCTATCCGGAGCAGAACAGCCAGTGCCTCAGTGATGACCACGTGTGCACAAGGGTCCAGTGTCCCCAGGGTGCCCTCCTCTTGGACATCAGAGCCCTTTTTAGTGAAAGGTTCCCAGGGACGTGACTGCTGGAGATGGGTTTATCTGCTCCGACTCAGTCAGACTGACAACCTGGCTTAATTTAGTGCAGTGAAAGACTGAACCATTTACTGGGCATTGAATTAAAAGGAAAGAGATTACGAATTATTCACTTTTCCAAAGAGTCAGTTTGTTTCCTTACGGATAAGATTTGATCCCTTATAGTCATAAATGGTAATTTTGATGCCACATATTCCTTTTAACCCCTGACTGCTCCAGAACTGTAACATGTTTTATAACGGACAGGCCCGTCAAGTCCAAAGGTCATAATCAAGGTTTTTGGCTTTTAGGTAACTTCATGAGAGAACTCCATGGGTGCGTTTGTCCAGGCTGCACGGAGGACTTCTTCCAGCAGGTTTGAAGAGTTGGATATTGTAAAATGAACTGTGAGATCAGTGACATTTTTAATACTTACATGTAATTAGTATCATAAAAACATGCATCATTTACATCAGTGGAATGATTTTGTGTCTGCCTAAGTTATTTTTAACATCTCTTTATTTCTGATTTTCATATCTGTGTGCCTTTGAGTGTGTTCTGAGAATTGCTTAGCTTGGAAAAAGAAGTGATTTCTTATGGTATGCCTTGTTACTGCTTTGCATAAAAGTTTACCATTGGGTATGATCAAAATCACGTTTAAAGTATTGTATCAAAATTTTACACCTGTTTACATTGTTTTTGTTTGTGTTCATATTTTATTAAACTATCATTTTATACTTATGAGTTTTCTTTCTACTTTTTATCATATTTCATCTGCTCAAATGTAACATACGCATGGTGTTTCGCAAATACTGACAATCTCAAGTTGTGCTTTAGAGAAAAACTTTCTATCAAAGATCGAATCCATAAATTACTGCATGAAGTTGGTGTTTAGAATAGAAATCACTGGGTCATCTGTGATCAGTGCAAGAAGTGTTTGTCATGTTGGTTTATGGCCTGATCCTGGAACTCCAGAGATAGCACAGTGGAAAGAGTATATAGAGGGGCCCTGGCTTTGTTATTGTCTTGAGCTCTGTTTTTGCGACGGTTGTTTTAATTGGTATGTTGATCGAAGTCCTTAAGGAGGCCCTATGGGTAGGGTCATGTTATGAGAACATAGCACATTGGCAAGGGATCTCAGCTTGTGCTTTAGTTAGTTATATGTTGTTATGTGGGCACCTTCTCTTTGAGGGCACATGGTCTTGGGCCCGTGCGTAGATGTTTAAGCCTGAGTACCTCTCCCTGCCACGCCGACAAGCAGTTCAAAGCTAATTGGCCAACACTAATTTGCCAAGGACATTTAGAATTGCAGTGAAATCCTCTTGAGTGCATTGTGGTGCGTGTCATGGGCCCTTTGAGAGACTCTAAAACGCCAGCCCATGGGCGGGACTGTATTCATCTGGTTTACTGTAAAAAGCCGGGACAAAAGTTTATTTACACTTTTTCAAAATTCTTTTCTCTTTCCCACGCCCTTGTCTGTTGTGTGCTGCTCGAGGATTAATTACCCTTTCTTTGTACTGTGACTGAGACATGGAGATGATGAGGAAGTACATGTAACAGGTTTTCCAGCGACTTCCAAAGCAAAACGAGGCTGTGCGGTGGCCTTCAGTGGGAGGCTGGTGTTCTTGCATTAAATCATCTCCATGGGGCCACTGCTGTGCTGGTGACACTTGACGCTACTACCCTAGACTTAGATTGCTCTGATTTATCTTACACATAAAATGTTACTGCACGGGCTTCATGAATATCCAGCGGAAGCAGAATGGTAGCAGATGCTATTAAGGCCGCCTGACACTAACGAGGCAGTTGTTACTCGGGCTGTGATCTAGTACTCGGAACAGAAAAATTATGGCTACAAGAGTAATGTGAAATACTTCTGCGCAAACTATGAAAGACAGATTGAGGCTCAGCAGATTTCATTGGTAAGATTATTAGCTGCTTGAAGTGAAAATACTTTGTGAATTGTATTGTATGATGGGATTGGAACTCCCCCTCAGAATACTGGTTTCCATGAGTAAATATCAGTAGGTGTTCTGGAAAGTTACCTGCCATTCTTTCCTTTTGTTACTTCAAGGGTTATGCAATTGTAAGGACTGGTGAACCTTTGACACTACCCAGATCCTGTTTCCCTTCTGAAGTATGTCGTGTATATCTAAGGGCAAGGTGAATGAAACTTCAGGTCATTTTGATTGGCTAGGGTAGGAATGGGTGCTTGACATGCATGTTTTTGTGAATATTCTCTGATAAAGGAATAGAAAGAAAAATTGCATTTGACTTGTGTGAAATTCCTCACTGAGCTGAGCTCAGAGTGTATGAATGGCTACTGGGAGAAAAGCAGGTGCTCAGGAGATAAATTATAAACACTGGGTCTTATTATAAAATCATCTAAGATTTTATTTTTGCTTTTATCCTGTGGAAGATCAATTGTTCATCACAAGCACCTAATCTAGTTACATCGCCAGTTATCACTGCTGGCTGCTGTACCTGAGTCATGCACCTGTGCTCTTTATATTTCAACATGTAATTGTCCGTGGGTAGCACGGATAAGGCATTGCGAGCAGTGGAGCAGACAGAAGCTCTGGGATCGGGGATTGCAGTGCCGTGGGTGTGTGTTGTGATCTGGTTATTCTCCAGGCGTCAAGGAAGGGCAGAGTTCGCAGCCGAGTTGGCTGCTCCGTCTTCTGCTTATGTCACAGTTTTGTCAGTCCACCGTCTCTGCGTCACCAAGCGGTGAGCCCTTTCAGGGTATGTGACCTCTGATTTTGAAACCTGCAACCTCAACAGTGAGCTCCACAGTCCTAAGTGGACTCCCAAGGTAGAGGAGACAGAGCCTGGATACACTTGCTTCATGGCTTGTCTGAAAGAGTTGACTGAGGCTCGAGCGAATAGCTCTCGTTCAGACCTCACCTGTAACGTCACCTCTTAACAGAGATTGCTTCTGTGAGGGGCATGCGCTCTGAGTGGGGAGCGACCTCATTAAAGAAGTCTGAGAAGAAAAGTGCAAGAAGGGGATACTGGGAGTGTGAATTAGCAATTAACAGCTTCTTCATTGAAGTGCAGCACCGTCCCAAAAAGTGGTGGCGTTTTAGCTGTCTAAGAGTAAAAAGGAAAGGTAAAACATCAAAACTGGTGGCAGAAAAGTTTCAGAACGCAAGGTCATTTTAATTCATAGTCTCCTTAAAAGAACTATCTCTTCTGAGCTTTCATATTTTGTTCAGAAAGGTCGTCTCTTTTAAGCCTTGTCATTAAAGACGGTTTGCTCTTTAAAGTGAGTTATCAAAGGATATAAAAATTGCAAGTTACTGAAACTAAAATGCATGATCAATTTTAAGTCTGCTAACTAAAGCCTACTTAAATTTGGATGTGCTTTTGTCCTGACAGCCCCTTTGATAGAATCAGAAAAAGATACATCATTGGTCAATTCAAAGTAGGGAGAGAAGATAATTAGATAAAACTTTTTTTTTCAACTGGTAGAGTGATTCTTAGCTTTGGAGGCTTGATTAGGAAGCTAATGGTATTTGAAAAGTAAAAATTGGATATCCCAGATTTTGAGCTGGTCAGTGTTAACATTCTTCCCTGGATTTTTTTTAAAAACAGAATGAAACCAGATCATTTTACCTCTCACATGGAGGAGAAACAGTATTTGTTAGCTAAGACTGCAAAACTTTAAAATCTACATTCCTCTTCAATATCTGATTCCACTGAAAATGTGTCCTAGACATTTCAATTTTAAGGAGGAAGTTCTATCCGGCATATGTTTTAAAACCAAAGGCCCTGGGTGCTTCTTTAGATTCTGCTGTTCTGAGGACCAAAGCTTAGTCTAGACTTGAGAGGAGTAAATCATCTTACGTCCTCGTTGGTAGTCTGCCATTTAAGAGAGGTCTCTGGTACATGGACTTGGACACATCATTATCACTGAGCAGAAAGAAAGCTTCCTAAAAAGAAGCCTGACACCGTACATCTAATTAGCTAAACTGTGTTTACCTGAATGAAACCATTTGGCCCGTGCCCTTTCCCTTTAGCTAGAAAAGGAAATTGTGCTTCACAGGTAGAGTTTGTCTGTTAGCTGTGCCTTCTTAGGCGGTTCCCTTCACCTGGTTGGGCCTCACTTTTCTACTCTGTAACATAAAGTACTAGACCGGTACTATACAGTACTAGACCAGTGTATCTCCAGCTCTATCATGTCAACCTTCTCAGTCAGTGTTTCTCAAAGTAATACTCCATGAAGCCTTGTTCTGGGTGATTTGTCCTGTAGTATTCAGATGTCATATTTAGGAAATGTGACGCGCTGTATCCTGTCTTCAAGATTCACATTTACATTACTACCTCATCCATGTGTGAATAGTTACTGATTGCCAACTAGCTAGCACCACCCCCAAAACCTAATGGCTTAAACAATATTTATTATAAAGCAATGATGTGTTATCATCTGTCTTAGTGCTGGGCTCACATAGGTCTCAAGCAGTACAGTCAGGTGTCTGCTGGGCGGCAGTCACGGGAGACAAAGGCTTACTCCCGTGTGGATAGCTCATACTGCCTGCTGGCTGGAGCATGGCAGCTGTGAGGAGCCCTGCAGAACTAGCCCAGTGAGAGATTAGGTGTGGAGGCCATCAGTCCCAGCAGGCCTAGGCCCAGAAAATGTCACAGCAACACCTCTACTGTATTCTGTCAAAGACAGTGCCTGAGCCAGGCATGGTGGCACATGGCTGTAACCCAAGCACTCTGGGAGGCTGAGACGGGAGGATTGCAAGTTCGAGCCCAGCTTGGACAACTTAGTAATTTAATGAGACTCTGTCTCAAAAGAAAATGTAAAGGGTTGAGAATCCTAGGTTCAATCCCCAGTACTAAAAAAAAAAAGAGCCCAGCCAGAGTCAAAAGTAGACAGTGTATATCCCAGCAAAGTCAAAGAATCTCTGGCCATCTTTAACCTACTCCACATTTGGTGGAGAAGCACATAACACTTTATCCTGGAATATCCTAAAATGATTTGACCCATGGAATTTTTTTTAATCTTTTCTTTAGGGGGCCACATATGTTGTTATACAGATTTCTAAGAAGTATTTGTAGAGAAGCCCCAATTTAAGTGATTACTAAAAATCCCCCTCTTGTTGAAATAATCTGTAAATGTATGTTGTATTGCTGTAATCACAGGGTAAGTTTGGGATTTAGAAATACTTCTTGGGAAGCTCTGAGTTATGAACATTCAACAAGTCCATGTCTTCCTCTGTGATTCTTTTGAGAGATGGTAGCAACCACAGTCCAATGGGGTTTTATTCAACTCCTGTTTGGGGCCTGGTATGCACTGTTTATTGTAATTATCTATGCAAGTGTATTATTATAAAAGTCCACCAGAACCCATACCCTGTGCTTAGGATGGTTTCTTCTTCTTTCGTGGAACTGTCAGGCACATGGAAGGATGTGGACTTGATGAGCCTGAGAGGGAAAATTTTCTGAACCACAGAACACTTAAAAACTACTCAA